GAATTAAAGTTGGCAAATGTCAAATATCGAGGACCTATATATATGTTTTGATATGGATACATTCCTTGTTAAATGTAGAACAATAATAACCCTCGGAGTTTTTATCAGTTTTTTATTTTTTTGATAAGTTATTCTTATTTAAAATTAAAGCACAAGTATGACATCATAGGCAACCACTGCTCCTATGATGGCATAGGAAAGGTCCGGGCTGGTTAGGATCAAGGGTAACTTAATGATTTCATTTAACCTTAGAGTCTTTCCTCAGAAAAGCCAGAAACTACTCGGAACCATCCTAATTTACCATTTCATGCTACACAGCAGTATTGTAAAGTTTTGCGCATGCGCATGGGATATATTGCTCTTTATGTATTTTTGGACCAAAAAAAAACTTTTGGAGCATTGCTTTTTTTTTACTTTACATTAAAATAAGTTTTCTTATAAAAAAAGAAGGTTTTCCGAACTCGTCAATATTGCAACTCACACAACTCGTTGGTATGCCCTCATGGGAAGAAGTCATCGTTTTCATTAAAACAAGCTGTGTCTGCTTTGTTCAAAAGATAAAATTAAAGTAAGTATTCCACTAAATACACAAAACTTGGATATAAAATGCATGAAAATTCCCATTCTGCATAGTTAATAATAAAATCACAATCTTAAATATATGAAAAGAATAAAGCTAAAACAGTTCATCCCAAAATCGATTTTTGTTGATTATAAAAACAATATTTGTACACAAGGAACGTATTTTCACTAAAACTAATTCAAAGTCATTATAGTCATGAAGGTCTATTCACTTTTACATCAAAACCAATTTTTATGGAAATATGACCAGTATGCCATCATAAGAGCTATGCCATCATAGGCGTCTTTGCCCTAGAGAGAGAGAGAGAGAGAGAGAGAGAAATAGAGAGAAAAAAAGAGAGAGAGAGATCCTTCATTAGCTGCCATAATATGGGATTAGAATTTATATGTGTATATTAGATGGGAAACTATATGTGGCAATTAATTGCCCAAGGGTAGTACAAAAGTATAAATCAATAGACGGACTTCATTATATAGAATGACTATAAAAAAAAAAAAAATTGGTATTTAAAAGAAAAAAATCAAAGTGTTTTTCCAATGTTTCGATATTGCAAAAGTAAATGGGTGGCGTGTTTATTGTCTTCACTGTGATCTTACTAAAACTTAACAGTAATTTGATAAAAGTTTTGAATGATTAAGTTAAAATTTACTTTAAATATTGCTTTAATTGTTTAATTAGTTTTAGAAAAAATTGTATATATATATGATATAATATATATAAACTATAAATATGTATATATAGTAAGATGATTATTTAAAAAGAAATTAGATAGCATAACATTTCCAACAAAAAAAGAGGAACCAATGAATACTCCAGTAAATGACTCAAGATTTGAAAAAAAAAATTTTAATAGCCATTACCCTTACGGAAATATTCCATGGAAAACCCATGGAATTCCATGAGTAAACCATGGTTTTCCCATGGAAAACATAAATTCCATGGAGTTTCCCATGGGTAAATTTCATGAAAATTGAAATCCCATGGAATTTCCATGTTTTTTTTTTTTTTCATAGCTTAAGCTGCGCCATGGTTGTTACAAATGCGCTTTTAAAGATGGCGTCATAGCTCGTAGAGTTATGATTATTTTTAACTTTAGAAAACAATACTTACTGCATTCTTCTGTTTTTCTGTGTTTAATAAGACTATGAATTATATGTTTTTTATAATGCATTACATTTATATGATTTAAACTAAACATACAGACATAAACAACTAGATATATTTATCATATTATAATGCATTATAAAATGGATTATTTTTAAATATATTTAATTATATATCATTTATGCATATACTTATTTTAACTGTTTCCAGTAGCTTTGCTTACTTTGCATAACTTGCAATAGTATAGCAAGTATGTCAAGTAAACCAGTTTGAATTTTAATGCCTACTTGGCAAATTATTTGCCAAATAATTATTATTTGGTTTACAACAAATAAATGTTTGTACATAGTGTAATTTAATGTAGATTCAAACTATAATTATATTTATTAACTATAATGTACATTCAAACTATAATTATAGTATATTCAAAATATAATTATTATTATAAAACTTATCGAACATATTAAAGAAACTTATCTAAAATATTAATATACAAGCGAATATTAGATAAGATTAGATAACTAAGATAATAAGATTAGATAACTAATGTACAAAAGATAACTAGTATGATCTTTTTTATTTTTTTTTTTATAATAGCCTTAGATTACATAAAAATGCTTGAAGTTTATTGTATCGTAAATTTTCATTAAGTATTAAAAAACATTTTTTTATGATAAATGTTCTATTCAATTTTAGTTCTGTTAAGTTGTTTTTGTCTTTTTGTTGTTGTTTTTTCTTTAGAATTATTAGAATATGTAAATAATGTAATATAAATAATGTCTATAAATTCTTTTATATTTACTTTATTATTTTATTTAAATTACTACATTATAAGCCAACAGGTTTGACTGGCAATATAAATAATGTTGTTCATCGTTTATATTGTTTATAACATCGTCAGTTTTTATATGCATTTAATATTTTTAAAAATAGTTCAAAAGCTGTCAAAATAAAATGGTGAATTGAGTTTAAACCAGAAAAGATATAAAAGTAATCTTTGGTATTCAACTTGTAAGGATGTTCCAAGAACCATTTAGTTGGAGAAGGAAAACTGTGGTAATATTTTATAAGTATCAGTAAGGGAATTTACTTAATGCACAAGATTTTACTTCATAGTTAAATATAAGCATATAAAAGCAATGTTTATAAATAATACACTATTATTTATTATAATACAATTTTTTTTTATTTGTTTATATCTAACTGATGTAAAGTGCTCGTCTTTAGTTAAAATAAATTAATTTATGCACACACTTTGATATTTACTATGCTTTTACATTACTATACTTTATAAATTACATATTTGTTATGCTTTAAATAGTGAAGTAAAAATATAATAAATTTTTGAATTTAATGGTATGTGCGTAAGTTCTTTTATTTTAACTTTATCATTTTATTTAAATTACTGCTTTATAAGCAGGTAAGTTTGACTGACAATATAAATAATGTTGTACATCATGCAGACAGCTCAGACAAAGAAGTAAGTTTTTACTTAAAATTACAATTTATAAGTTATACTATATTTGTTGCTGCCTTATTCTATATAAATGTTACTAACATGCAGGTAAAATTTATATATGTGTATAAATCTTTTCATTTTAACCTTATCATTTCATTTAAATATAAATTTTTAATTTATTTATTTAGCCGTTCATTAACAAGTCCTGTGTTTAATAATATATTAAAAAATGGAAGGACGTGAAGAAAACAGGTTTGTAAATGATGTTGTACATCATGCAGATAGCTCAGAAGAAGAAGTAAGTTTTTTTTTTAATTACAAAAGTAAATATATAATATAATATTTGTTGCTGCCTTGTTCAATATAAATGTTTCAAACATGCAGGTAACATTTATATATGTATTAGTTTGAATAAATCATTTTAATAAAGTTACATTATAGGCAGGAATGTTTGACTGGAAATATAAACGATGTTGTACATAATGCAGATAGCTTAGGCATAAAAGAGGTAACAATCTAATAATTTGTATTTATAAATAATGATATATTCATTGCTACTTTTTTCTATATAAATGTTACCTAACATTTGGCAACATTCATAATTGTGTATAATGCCTAATTATAAAGTAAGTTATAATAGATAATAATTATAAGTAAAATGAATTAGTAAATAAAGAAAACTAGTTAGAATGTATATAATAGTTGTATGATGTATTGTCTAGATTGGTGAAATGGAGAATGAGATTAACTAGGGTGAAAAAAAATGAATATTAATATGTGAATGGTACTTTGTTTAACATCTACCTGTTTCTACAGATACAGTACAGACGCATTTATAAATGGGCTTGATGTTTTTTTGAATTAAATATGTTGTATTGATGGTTCTTTTTAACTTGTTAAAACTTGAAGTTATTATCAAATTTATATATACTTTTTTTATCAAATAGTTAATATAAAATAATAAACATGTAAATTGTTTTATTTTCTGTAAAAATTGTTTTCTTGATAAATTTCAATTGTTTATCACTATGTATATCACTTATAGTATTATATTACTTGTAATTTTTTGTTTTATTTATTTTCAGTATTTTATACAAATGCATGCATTAAATATTGTGGGGAAGTCAAGTTTTGATGTTTTAGGTGCATTATAGCTATTATTTTTCAAAGATTTGTAGGATTTAACAAGATTTAAATTTTATTTTGTTTATTGATTTTATTTGGAGAAAGCGATCTCATAGATTAAGAGAACTCAATAATAGTGGGATAAAATTTGCTTTTATGATTTAATATGACAATTCAAATAACATTAGATAAAAAAACTTGAAAACAAATCATGCTTTTTTACCATGAAAAATCCATAAGTTTTCCTTGGAAAGGTGTTCCTAATACCTATGGAAATTCCATGGTTTTTCCATGGATGGAAAATCATTGAATATCCATGGTATTTGGAACACTTTTCCATGAAAAACTTAAAGATTTTTCATGGGAAATTCATGTGTTTCCCATGAAAACTCATGGTTTTTCCATGGAAAACTCATGGTTTTTTCATGGGAACGTGTTCCAAATACCCATGGTTTTCCATGGGTTTTTTTTCTAAAATTCCCATGGGAAATTTTCGTACGGGTAGAGACAATGAGTATTTCATTATCCAAAAGGAAATAGTATTCACTCAAAGATTTCAAAAGATGGATTTTAAAGGGTTAAGCCTTCATTGAAAATGTAATTATGCAAATTTTGTTAACACAAAAAGTCATTTCCAATAAGAAGTTACATGAGAAATCGTAATAGCAAATTACCGATTGACGTCACGATATAGTTGCTAGTAAATAGTTGAATGTAAAAAAAGACATCATTATATTCTAGATATTTTAGGTTCTATATAAGTTATGTTGAACTTCATTAAGAGATATTGGCGTTTATGCATAATTGACAAAGATCGTTTTTATATGTGAAACTACACGCTACTTCGGAAAAATGTCAACAAAAATTCCAGAGTAAAGTGGAACTAAGCATCAATCAATTGCAGGTTGGCTAAAATTAACTGAGCTGGTTGGCAAATTGTTTGGTTTAAACAATCTAAAAAGAGTGGTTCTTCTCCGTCTCACTGATGGTGCGTTTGCATTATACCAATAATTAGCGGAAATATACCATGGAAAATTTTGAGAGAATAAAGAAGACTAAACAGGTTTATTAAAGCAGTCATGCCAAACACAGATATACACATCTGTATCAGCACACGCATTTTTATCAGCACACGCATCTCGGAAAGAATGTTTTAATAACTGATTTATTTTCAGCTCACTTGCAACTTGATGAGAAACTTTGGGCTTACCAAACTGTTGTGTTCCGTGGAGAAAGGTTTTATTTATACGTTTTCATTATAACTGGTGCAACGTTTAGGCCAGGGCTGGAAAAAGTGGGTTTTTTGGGTTTTTTTAAATACCTAATGAAACAGAATTTCTAGTTTTTTTGGGTTTTTTGTTTTTACAATTTAAGTTTTGAAAACTTTTATTATGACATTGTCATTTTTTTGCTAAAATTTTAATATCTTAAACAATTTTGTTATGATATTCATTGAATTTTCTGGAAAATGATTGTCATGCAGTCATTAATATTTGATTCATTTTGATAATGATAACATTTAAAAATAAAACCCATAAAACCTTTAAAACCCCAAAAAACCCAAAAACCTACTTTCTGAAATAATAAAAAGAGGGTTTTCCAGATCTGGTTTAGGCCAAATCTTAAATTTGGCCGATGATGGAAACAATTCCATCGCAAAACGAAAAGGTCTGGAAAAGACCCTCGTCATACAACCGTACCAGTTCGTTGCGTACTTGATCATTTGGAAATAAGGTTATCATGTTTTTATAACAACTTCGAAATCATATAAAGTTTCGGTTTCAGCTAGTTACTTATATTATTTATATAATAATTATGTTTCGAAGTTATATGAAAATTTCAGTTTCGGCTATCTATTGATATTGTTTATATAATAATTTTGTTATGAACTTATATAAACGTTTCAGTTTCGGCTAACTGTTGATAATTTAATTTAGCATTTTATATAACAAAAACAAAAAATTTTATAAACTTTTTTTCAATAAGTTGATTTTTTTTAAGCATGACTCGATCCCCACAAAGCTAAATAAACCTATTTAACACTGCTTATTAAGAATATAAATTTTTTAGTAAAGTAACGAACCCTAACAACAGTCGTTAAAAGTTGTTGTAATCAAATAAACTAGCAAATTTTCAGATTAGTGAAATTAAAATTATGGAAATAATCTATTACAAAACGATTTATTTTCGACTTTTCTTAAAGCTATTTTGTCTACTGTGTAAAAGAAAAAAAATTTCCATCTGTTATGGTATGAAAGTTATTGTTGTTTTGTATAATACAAACTTTCTCATAATCTTTGGGATAATATGGCAAATAATATGGTATAATATGGCATAACTGAACAAAGTGGTATTATTGAAAGTTTAATACACGTAAAATACAATTTAGTCAGAATTAAAATGAATATATGTGAAAAAAAACATCAACGTAAAAAACCTATTTGAGAATTTCCACTCAATTTGTAATCGTCCTCAAGAAACGTCCTCAAAGAATGTTTTTTTCTTCATAACGTTTTAATAACCTTCACAAATCTGGTAAGTGATAATAAACATCCTTTTTTTTTAAATTGCAGCATTCAACAAGCTTTATTAGAACTAGAAGATCGGCGCGCTATCCCCTTTGCCACGCTGGCACAGAACCCAGCTTATTAAAAGATATTTATTTATTGAAACCCAATTTATCAAAGATATTTATTTAATAGAACCCAGTTTATCGAATGTATTTTTTGTTAGTAGTTGTATGGTTATTAACTTGAAATTTTTTGTGTATTTATTATATATACTTTCTCGGAACATTCAAAAATCTGTTTATGCATTTGAAGATGTACTTTTAATCAAATAAAAATATAAATATGTACACACAGATACACATACACACGCGCGCGCACGCACACACGTACGCGCACACACTAATAATTACTTTCTTTAAGAAGGTCATTCAACTTATTTTTTTCTTTTTTTTTTTTTTTTTTTTTTTTTTTTAGTTTACAATGTTAGTCGTGATACAAAATAATATAAGTCGTGATATATAATAATATAAGTCTGATACATATATAATAATATAAGTCGTGATATATAATAATATAAGTCTGATACATAAAAATATTTAAGACTTCTACAAGAAAAGAAAAAAAAATGAGTATATATATATATATATATATATATATATATGTATATACAATTCAGCGTACTAACAATATAAGACTAGGTTTCCGAAAGAAGATCAGAAGGATCTTATCACCGGAACCTTAAAAAAGACATAATGCAAAGATTTAACATAATGCAAATATGCAATATACTAATACAATATAACATAATGCAAATATACAATATACTAACATTTTAATACTCAATATGCTGAAGATTTGAAAAATACATTTTACATAAATTTTTAGTAGAATTTTAGAATGTTGTCCATACAGAGAATGAAGTTTTTTAATTTAGTTTTAAAAACAGGAAGAGTAGTAGAAGGGTCAAAATTTGGTAATACTATTTTATTCCAAAGATGGGGTGCACGATATGCAATACAGAATTGGTTGAACTTCGTTTTACAAAATGGTTCATTTAGAAAACTATTACTTCTTAATGTGTATTTATTTATTGGTTTTAAAGAAAAAAGGTCATTGAAAACAAATAAAGATAAATCGTTTTTCCACATAAAAGTAAAACATAAAACATTAAATATGTTAAGTTTATAAACATCTAGTACATTCATATAATCAAAAAAATATTTCGAACGTGAAAAGCGATCCGCATAATTAACTACACGGATTGCATGTTTCTGACGGCGATAAAGATGTTGTAATTTACTTTTCTCCGTACTTCCCCAGGCTATGATTGCATAATTTATATAATTATGTATAAATGAATAATAGAGCTGGGTTAAGTTTTTTTTGTTTAGATAATTTCGAGCTTTGTATAAAATGCCAATATTTTTAGAAACTTTGGTGCTTATATGATCAATATGCTTTCTCCAAGTAATATTTTCATCAAGATAAACACCTAAGAATTTTATAACAGTATCTCTTTTTATTATAGTTTCATCAATGTAAATTTGAGGCATATTATTTGTTAAAAATCGTTTTTTTGCGCAGGAGTGAAAAATAATCCATTTTGTTTTGTTAATATTTAAAGTTAATTTATTAGCTTTGAACCAGTTCGAAATGTGTTTGAGTTCTTTGTTTGTAGTTGAAAAGAGTTCATAAATATCAGTATGGGATAAGAAAAGATTAGTATCATCAGCGAACATTATACTTTTCAATTTGGAAGCTTTGTTTAAATCGTTTACATAGATTAAAAATAGTAGTGGTCCGAGAATAGAGCCTTGTGGAACACCACAAGTTATGCTCAGGGGTTCACTTTGATAACCATCATTACTATACACAAGTTGCTTTCGATTTGTTAAATAGCTTTCAAACCATTTTAAAATTTTATTGTTTAAACCATAATATTTAATTTTTTGGATTAAGATGTGGTGATCGACCGTATCAAAAGCTTTTGATAGGTCAATAAAGACACCTAGTGTGTATTGAGATTTTTCAAAAGATTTAGAGATGTTATGTATAAATTGAATGATGGCATGTTCAGTTGAGCTCCCTTTTCTGAAACCATACTGATTGTTATATAATAAATTGTTGTAATTAAAATAATTGTATACTCTATTGAAAATAATTCTTTCTAAAATTTTAGAAAATATAGAAAGAACAGAGATAGGGCGATAATTATTGATATTGGATCTGTCGCCTTCTTTATGGAGAGGGGTAACTCTGGCAAGTTTTAAACGTTCAGGAAAAATACCTTGATGAACAGATGCTCTGAAAATTTTGAAAAGAATATTTTTTAATTGTTCATAGCAATCTATAACAATATTCCCGTTTATTTCATCTGCACCAGGTGCTTTATTCTTTTTTAAAGATTTAAAAGCTTTCTCAAACTCATCAAATGATAGTTCAGCAGATAATTCTTCAGAGGAAATATTTTTATCAAAAGGTAACAAAAAATCATAAAATGAGGTCTGAGTTTTTTGTATTTTACTTGATAAGATTGATCCAATTTCAGTAAAATATTTATTGAATTCATGAGCTATTATTTGTGGCTCATGCAAGCTATTGTTATCAACTTTAAGCATTTGTGGCAAAGAGCTTGAGCATGTTTTTTGTTTTCCTGTAATTTCTTTTAATATTTGCCAAGTGCGTTTTGAGTCATTTTTAGCTTTATTAATTAATTTTGAATAGTAATTTTTTTTAAATTTTTTTCGGATTTTTTCGAATAGATTTTTGTAATCTTTGTAAATTTTTTCGCTATCTGGTGTTTTTGTTTTTAGATATTTTATGTATAGCCTTTGTTTAGTTTTGGATGATTTTTTGAACCCCTTGGTAATCCAGGGATTATCAAAGTGTTTTGTTTTTAATGTAATTGTAACAATTGGAAAATTAGACTCGTAAACAGAGATAAAAGTTTCATAGAATTTTTCATAAAGGTTGTTTGCATTTTCATTAAAATTTAAGTGTTTCCAATGTAATAATGAGAGCTGATTTTTAAAGGCCTCAATGTTTGATGATGTATAAAAACGTTTTTTTACAATTTTATTTAATTTTTGTTTAGGCAGTTGGTCGGTGTTTATAGTTAGAAAAATAGGAAAGTGGTCCGAAATATCCGTTTTTAAGATACCTAATTTTATATCATTGTTGAACAAGTCTGTGGTAATGATATTATCCAGCAAAGTTGCTGAATTTTTTGTTATTCTTGTTGGGCGATTTATTAAAGGGATTGCTCCAGATTCAAAAATTGTATCATAAAAATTTTTAACTTTGTTATCATCATTGTAGACAAAACAATTCATATTAAAATCACCAACAAGAAAGTTTTTTTTCTTTTCGTTGTTACCTTTTGCAATAACATTTTGCTGTAAAAACATGCTCAAGTTCTCGCTCACGCCATCTGGCGGTCGATAACAACAGCTAACTAAAATATTTTTTGTTCGTTCATTAATAATCTCAATTGTTAATATTTCTCCATCGCCGTCAGAAACACTAAGATCATTTCTACAACAATGCTTTATATCTTTATGAATGTAAATTAGAACTCCACCACCGCGCTTATTTATTTGTCTTTCGAGAGAGATCATTTCAAAATGAGAAAGATAAAAATTAAAATTTTTTTTTATGTCGTTTGAGGTTGCCCAAGTTTCAGTTAAGCAAATAATATTAAAAAAGTACTTAGTTTCCTCGAGTAAA